TGTCAGATCACAGCAGAACACTGATCATGTCGCACAACTAACTAACACAGATGTTGACTCTACCCTGGGTACTTGGGTTGGATGAAGAAAACGAGGACAAAAACTGAATAATGGATATCAATGCTAGAGTGAAAAACAAAGAAAATAAGCTATTAATATGAAATGTACAGTATGTACAGTGATATGTACAGTACTGTTGATTAGTTGCAATAACACATACACACACATAGGGTTAGCATGGGTTATAAAACAAAAGGATTTTACAAATGAACTGCAGAGGGCTTCATTCCCAAGACAAACCAAAACAGAATTTCAGATGATAGCACAGAATGAAATTAATAATGAACAGTTATTTTAGTTTGAGTTTGCAACATCTTTGTGAAAATCTTACCACTTTGTGTAAGTCTATTATCTTTCTCTTGACCATTCTGACTAGAATAAATTTGATTAGGATTTTTCATAGGATTTATGGGCCTGTCGTCAGGTCTGACTATGTAAGTTGTGGAGAAATCACTTGGCGAAGAAGAGCCTACATGTGGAAAAGAAAAAAAAGGGAAGTCTCTGTCACTGTTCCTTTAACTGGTAGAGAAAAAAAAAGATTTAAAATTCCACTCAAGGGAGGTTAGAGCACATGTTGTAGTAAATTATGTTGCAGTTGCTCAGTTCATGAGAACATTATTACTGTCATATAAGACATCTATAATTCAACTTAAAATGCCACTAGAAGTACCACTGAATATCAACCAGATTAGGGAGTTTAAGTATAAATTGTATAATTCTACCATTCTAGACTAAGGTCTATGCAATAACAAATGCAAAAATTAACACAGAACAAAACTTGAATGAAACAGACACTGCTGTTCAAAATCAACGTAAATGTGCGACATCGGCCTATAATGTGTTTTTATTTTAATCTCTTTCGATTGACATTCTATTAGCTTTAACAAACCAGATTCGTTGAGTTAAACAATAACTTGCTCATGTTGCAGATAGAGATGCGTCAAACTGTCGTTTGTTTAATCTACACTTGCACTGAATGTAGTAATCTTCGTTGATATTTTTGGCTTCATGACTCATTCATAAAATTAAATTCAGAACCTATGTTGTGTCAGTAATCTACAGAATACTTATTTTTCTTTAATGTGATTAATGTGATTTACCACCACGCCATCAGAAAAGAAAACAAATTCTCGTTTCCAATTTGGCCGTAACAAATGGACGACATGCTTTGAAAAAAAATGGCTGCCAGGTCAGAGGTCAATGTCTCAAGACACTTATCCTCGGGGGCGGAGCTACGTCACAGACGTTCCACGTTGCTAAGACACGCACCACTGTACCATGCATTTCTATGGGCTCTGTGTGCGCTGCTGTGGAACGCCGGTCGAGCCGGTGAAAATTCGAGAAAACAACACAAAATCAACTTTGAAGTAATCCCGAACAACCAAATTTATATATGTTACACACGTAGGCCTAATTTTGTTGCACTGTTCAGAGGAGTCTCAACAATCATCCCAAAGTACTGTTTTATGCGAGTTTTGGGCCTTTGTTTTCACCGCCGCGGGTTGCCAGGCGGTGAAAATACCCGGATGTCCGCCCCCGAGGATTAGAAATTATTGCAAAAAAAAATGTTTATCCTTTTTATTAAAGCAGATTAACTTTACATTAAATTAAAATAGTTAAATCATAATTACGAGGATGACAAAATGAATATTAATTGCCTCATGAATATTAATCAGCAATCAACACTGGAATCGGGCTAGGCAGAACCCTGCAAGCAATCTCGTAGCATCTGTTCCTTTGATCAGTAATTTGGTTTGTAGCATATATGTATCAATTGAACTTAATATGTAGAAGCGTATTGTGATTGTCACATGGTTTGGCCACCATAAGCTATTGAAGGCAAGCTGAAAATGATGCAATTTAGAAATGTAACATTTTTGGTATAGCCTCAATTTTGAATACATATGGGTACTGAATGACATAAAAATATACATCTATCAAGTAGCTTGTCAGACATCTTTGATTTTTATAAACTGTAAAATACTTTATTTTAGCTGGAATCACTTTTCACTGAAGACATTTTGGATGTTTTATATGGAATTTAGTTTCACAGATTTTTGACAAGTAAAATATAGAAAAAAAGGTATATTCGCTGGTTTTATTTTCACTGAATCATCCTTTCAGCGAAAATATTGAAAATTAAAATGGGAGGGTCGTCACCTGCGAACACACAGGATTTGATAACAACACACGCTAAAAATGCAGTGGCTCATGGGTAGACGCTTTGTAAACAATGACATGTTATGGCCGTCTGACGCATGCGCGCAGCTGACGACTCCCTCGCTTTGATTCCAAGAGAAAATGAACATGCAAGACTTGGAGCACTGGGATGCTGTTTACAACTAATTATAATAATTTAATTATAATACATGTACAAATGTAATTAACTTGACATTTATAATGAGTACTATGAAACTTGTAATGACCTACCTTCTGTAGTTCTCATAACGACGTCATCATCATCATCATGGTAGACAACTTGACCCATATCAACACGTGTCTGGTACACAGTACCAATGTCTTCTCGTTCATACAGCATTGTACCAGAGTAATCCTCCGGCTCATAGTATGTACCTTCGGGCTCACCATGGTAAACAAGTGTACCACCCGGCGATTCGTCATGGTATATCACTGTACCACCAGCCATGGTTCCAGCAGCCTGTTATCAAGTGACATACAGTATATCAATTAATTTCTGATTCAGTAACCAAAGGTGGATAAAAGAAAAGATCATGCAACTTGGGTGATACATGATGAAAAACTAACTGATCATGTAAAACAAACAAATTCCGAAACAATAGTGAAAGTGGTAATAGTCTATGTCTTTGAAAATTTGTGTCTACTGTGTTCTTGAATAGAATTGAGTATCCTTAGTGTGAATCTTGATTGTTTTTAATCAATGGCAATTTTTCCATAGTTACCAATTAACTTTGAGGGAAAAATTGCATACATAGAATTAAAGCTTTAGAGTATTCAGACCACACTCAATACATCAAATCATGACTTACTTTCTCTGATTAGATAATCATATTTAAGGATAAAAAAATGTTAGTACAGGCGTACATGCATGACTTACTAACTATATGGTTTTCAGTGAGGTCCTAGGGAATCAGTAAACTTTTCACAGGGGTCCTAGTGAGTTATCACAGTGAACATTTCAGTGAAATTCTAGAAAGTCATGGTGATGGTGGTGGTACAAATTCCTAGCAGTGAATTTTTTTTTACAGTAACTGGGATGCATGTGAAATAACTGAGCCAGCGTGTTTTCTTGGACTTGAATATGAGTATCTGTTAAGATGGTAACAACAAATATTGCTACAAAATAAGTTACCTCCCCTCTGCCACCTTGCCAGGCTGGTCTGTTATAGGATGAAATTGTTCCCTGTATCAGAGCTTTTCTATGAATATTTTCAGCAAGGTTGGCTCTTGTATGCATTCTGTGAAAGTAATGACACAACTAATTAAGTAAGATCCTCATCAATATTTTTTGACAATATGATCATTTTGTATTTAAAAAAGAGAAAACAAGAATATGTCAATGAACTCAATAAATCAGCCAAGTATCTTTTCTAGCTGTCTAGGGAGTCAAGTGCCACTAGAATCATGTCAACCTGTCTAGGGAGTCAATAGCCACTGGGATAATGTCAACCTGTCTAGGGAGTTGAGTACCACCAGGATCATGTAAGTCAAGTACTACTGGGATCATGTCAACCTGTCTAGGGAGTCAAGAGCCACTGGGATAATGTCAACCTGTCTATGGAGTCAATAGCCACTGGGATAATGTCAACCTGTCTATGGAGTCAATAGCCACTGGGATAATGTCAACCTGTCTAGGGAGTTGAGTACCACCAGGATCATGTCAGTCAAGTACTACTGGAGCATGTCAACCTGTCTAGGGAGTCAAGAGCCACTGGGATAATGTCAACCTGTCTATGGAGTCAATAGCCACTGGGATAATGTCAACCTGTCTAGGGAGTTGAGTACCACTAGGATCATGTCAGTCAAGAGCCACTGGGATCATGTCAACCTGTCTAGGGAGTCAAGAGCCACTGGGATCATGTTAACCTGTCTAGGGAGTCAAGAGCCACTGGGATAATGTCAACCTGTCTATGGAGTTGAGTACCACCAGGATCATGTCAGTCAAGTACTACTGGGATCATGTTAACCTGTCTAGGGAGTCAAGAGCCACTGGGATAATGTCAACCTGTCTATGGAGTTGAGTACCACCAGGATCATGTCAGTCAAGTACTACTGGGATCATGTTAACCTGTCTAGGGAGTCAAGAGCCACTGGGATAATGTCAACCTGTCTATGGAGTTGAGTACCACCAGGATCATGTCAGTCAAGTACTACTGAGATCATGTTAACCTGTCTAGGGAGTCAAGAGCCACTGGGATAATGTCAACCTGTCTAGGGAGTTGAGTACCACCAGGATCATGTCAGTCAAGTACTACTGGGATCATGTCAACCTGTCTAGGGAGTCAAGAGCCACTGGGATAATGTCAACCTGTCTAGGGAGTCGAGTACCACTGGGATCATGTCAGTCAAGTACCACTGGGATCATGTCAACCTGTCTAGGGAGTCAAGAGCCACTGGGATAATGTCAACCTGTCTAGGGAGTTGAGTACCACTGGGATCATGTCAGTCAAGTACTGTAAAATGACTAATTTTCACTGGGTTTAAATTTCACTGATTTACCATTTCAGGCATATTCAGTGGGTTTTAAATTCACGGTTTCGTCATTTAGATAATGTGTTCTATGCTAAATTTTACATATTCACTGTGTTTTAATTTAGCGCATTTTTCCAGTCAGCGAAATAAGCTAAATTAAAACCCAGTGAATAATTACCCCCTTTACAGTACTACAGGAATCATGTCAACCTGTCTAGGGAGTCAAGAGCCATTGGGATAATGTCAACCTGTCTAGGGAGTCAAGAGCTACTCGGATCATCAGGAGATTCAAGATGCGGAGGTGCTCAAATAAATGAAATGAAATGAGTCAGTATACTGTACTCACGTCAGTTCTTTTGCCTTTTCATCAGCATCTTGCAATTTTCTCATTATCAATTGCTCCTTGGGAGTTAGTTTGTTCAGTGATTCTTCTCTTAAATCTTGTAAATGAGTTTTCTCACGCGCAAGCGCAAAAATCTGCTGCTGCTGATCAATGTCTACTTCTACATCACGTTGATGCTCACGAACCCCAGCCATTCGGGTCGCCATTTTCTAAAAAAGAAAACAAGCATTTAATGTACTATGCCATATTTTCAATATTTTCAGGTAGCTGTGATCTACAGTCATCTACAAAGTTTATTTATTTGATGAAAAATTATAGAACAGACACTTTTATATAAGGCAGCCATTTTTTGGTTTTTACAATATGGATTAAGAATGTAGTAGATTTTGGAGGACATTTGAGAGGTCAAGTTTAAAGGGTTTAGTCGTCGCGCCACGCATGCACGAGATATATGGGTCTCATATAAACAAAGATGGCAACTTTGACTGTTGCGTGATCAGGGAATACGAACTGAGACGTTTCAAAGCTTTAGTTAGGTAATTTTCAGGTGATTGGAAGGAATCAAAGGAGTCACCGGTGGCAATCAGTCGCACACAGGTCAAACCTTATACTTGTGAGTGATTTCCATTTGAAGAGCGCATTGGATTATGGGGAAATCGAAATCAACACGAATGTCGCACATGCGTATATTTTGTAAATTTGTTTGATGACAAACAGCAATTTTTTTTTGTCATACATCTTCCTTGAAGAATAAAACTGAATGCATCGCTAAACACCATGCTATAAATTATGGATACTGATTTCTACGATTTTAATTAAAATAAACAAGTAACATGTTTGAAAAAACAAACAGAATAGTGAGTGGCGAGTGTCTGCAGTGAAACATTATCTCACCAATAATAGGAATATGTAAATGAATACAAATTGATATTAAAATTTATGCCACCAAAGAATAACTGTTATTTCAAATTGTTGGGAACATTGTAAATCCTAATTTGATATGTCTATCAATAGTGTGTAAATGTGTGTAAACTTAGTAGTATTGCTTACTTCCATATGCCTGGCAACAAATGGTAAATTGAGAACTTCTGCCGCTGATGGTCGATTCCCAGGTTCTTTAATTAGTACCCTGTAAGGAAATGTAGGACTTTTATTGCAGTATAATGAGTAGATGCAAGTCATTTATTTTCCTAATGTGATCACCTCTGTCTAACAGGCTTAGCTACAACAATGTCGTAAAGAAACAAAATACTTCTGTTGAGCAGTGCAAAAGGTGTTTTGCTACTGAAAAGAATCGCATGTTTTTATGAATTTTTTTTTGACAACTTCAGACCAAATAGAAATAATTTCCTATTGCTTTGCAGGTATTAATCAAAAAAACATTGAAACAATTCTGCAGATTTATTCAAATGAAAGTTGACAAAAAGTTTCAGGTTTTTGAGTTCATCTACATAATAATTTTGATATTCCATTATGCATGGTTACTCATTTAGTTGAAAATAAAATATGTTTCTTACTTGGTGAGTATTTCTTGGATATTTTTATCGTATTTATTTGGTATTTTTGGTATCTTTCCTTCCACTATTTTGTACATAACACCCATCAGTGATTGTCCTTCAAAGGCATGTTCTAGAGCGCATAGCTCATATAGTATACATGCTATAGACCTGTAATACCGGTAAATAGAATAGAAAAGATGAGTTTTAAGTACCTGTGCAAGTTCCGTGGTTGCTATGTTACTGAACACAATAGCAACAGTAAAGAAGGGAGGAGGGGTGTTTTTACAGCCAGTCATTTGGGAGACTCAGTTTTACACAAGCTACAGTTTGGTTATTTGTTGGCACCGAATTTCAAGAAGTTTCAAGAAGTCGAAAATATCACTTTTTACTAAAAATTACAAAAATATTCATCAAAATTAGAGAACTGAAGATATCATCATGAAATGAACAAATCTAAGAGAGGTCTACCCAAGGTACATATACACCAAGTATCAAAGCATTCAGGCTTGTAGTTTTCAAGCAGAAGTCGAAAACATTGCAAAAAACATTGACATGGACGACGACGGACAATCACTCATATGATAAGCTCCGCTCGACAAAGTGGACAGCGGAGCTAAAATCTTCCTACAAAAAATACGAAAAGAATGATTCTGCACCAGTGCCAGTATTCTTATGTCTTTTGCAAGTCAGGAGTAAATTCTGCAATGTGAAAACATGGTCTGTCCATTGCTGTAATATAGATTTGTCTGTAGTGTACATGACCACTACTAGTTGGTGCCTGCAAGTTTGAAAATCCAACTGTTTAGTCAAAGCACAAATGTTAGCCAATAACTATCACATTACTTCCGATAATAAATGTCGCCACCTACCACACATCTGATTTTGAGTTGTAACCTTCATGTTTTAAGACTTCAGGGCTCATGTAATAAGGAGTACCAGTGAAAGTACTGGCCAGATCTGTGGTACCCATCAACACTCTGGATATTCCAAAGTCACCTATCTTGCACATATTATTCTTCAAAAAAATATTTCGGGTTTTCAAGTCCCTATGTAAAACACGCCTATAATGAAAAGAACATGATATCAACTTAAAACAATGATCTTTTATGTAAGTAAGTTCTCCTTACTCCTTTTTAATGTTAACACATTAAGCTCCAAAAATGTTGGTGCACACACACTCTTTTAGATATTTTTCTGTAATATTGCACCAAATAAACATAATTTCCCATTAGTGATACTGTAGATTATAATTAAAATGTATAAAAAATATGGAAAACATTATGTTAGAGAAATTGACAGTGTTTATTAAAGGGTTAATGAAATTGTTATTTTACAAACATTCAGTGCTACATGTACAATGTATATGCGTTTTATGTACACTTTAAAGGGGAACTGCTCAATCCCATGGATTGCATCTCGTGCTCATGGGTAATTAACTCTGCCTCTGTCCACTAAGTAAATGATGCTTTGAGCAAGAAAGCGGATGAAATGATGTGCACATATATCAACAACCATGACTTAATGCGAGGTGCACGTGGTAATGATGTCACATTATTTTCTGACTCAGTACACCTTAATCGCGGCTTTCGCCGTGGAACATCGAAGCTTATTCGTAATTGGATGTCAAATGTGCCTGATATTTCAACCCGTGGTAGTGCTAGAGGGATAATTCAAAGCAACAAGCAAAATCGACCAATTTACCACAATACAGGTCAATACAATCATGAGTACGAACAACGACACTCTGGTTATAATAAAAGGCGGAGTTACATTGGTCAATTCAACAGCTGGCGCAATAATGGTAATGTTCTGCCTCATAATGAAACCACTTTATATCAACCTCGTTTCCCAGAACTTGCACGTAACCCAAATTATCACGGATATAGTAATGACCAAGTCAGGTGTTTTCAGTGCGGAGAAACAGGGCACATTCAAAAAAAATGCAGACATTCAACAAGAATGAAATGTTGGTCATGTGGACAAGGTGGACACAAACAAAAAGAGAGTCAATAAGTAACGAAATATTGAAGAAAAACTACAGCACAGACGAATGGGACCACGAATGATGATACAATAAATAAGTAAAACAGTAAATATTCTAACCTGCTATGCATGTAGTCAACAGCCAATGCAAGCTGGACAAACCAATCCATTATTTGGTTCTGCTCAAATGATTTCCCTTCTTTTTTGGCTTTGGTAATTCTCACATCCAAGTCTCCTCCCTAGTAATAGAAAAATATAGAGCTGATAAATAAAATATAGATTCATTAATTTTCAGATATGATCAAGTGAAGCACTGAATGACTGGACACTGCTGGCATACTGGTTGTCGCATCAGACTCATGATCGGTATACCCAAGCTCAAATCCTACCTTAGGCTGAACATCAAAAAGGTCAGCCCTCTACCCTGGGTGAGTTGGCCAGATTCAATGGGAAGGCCAATTCCACTGGCCGAGATTAATTCACTAAAGAATGCGACTTTGGAGGATCCTTGGGTTAAGGTCACAAGAGCTTGTGTTTGACGAGCCTGGTTGACGGCAGGGTAGCGCATTCAAATTGCCATTTGATGGGGAGATGTGTCAGCACTAGCACTTGCAATTTGTACATACAAAAATTAGTGATGTTGCTTATCAATTTTCATGGTAGATACATCAGATTGTAGCTTGATTGAAGGAAATAATTTGACGCATCATTATGCATTTTTCAGCTGAGCTTTGACATACTAGAACTTTTGGGCCAATGGTGACGAGCAGCAGCACGAGTCAACAACTGAAGAAACTTTCGGACAAATGAGAGAATGACATTGCAGGCAGGTCCATCTCTTAAAATCCCATCAACATACTCACCTCACAATATTCTGTGATAAGGCAAAAAAATTCCATATCTAGAAAGCTGTCAGAAAATCTGACAATACCGGGATGATTTAACCTTGAAAGTAGTTTGGCTTCATGGACGGCATCAACGGTTTCATCAGGTGCTAACTCACCTACAGCAATTTCTTTTAAAACTTTACTATAAAGAAAGAAATAACAACCTTGTTAACAGCCACAGAAATATCTTGGTGGTAGTAAAAAACAGCAGCAATCAGTTGAACAACTGACTGGACATTCCTACTAAAGAATTGACACTGGTGTGCTATCAGTAACCTAGCAATAGGAGAACACCAGACTCATCTACCTCTTCATCATCAAATGCTAACAACACTTGGGCACATTTGGAGGCTTGAATGGTATTCTAAATGCTCTCTTTCATGGGTAATGATGGTCGTGTGATGGCGATGACCTGATGCAGGGGTTGAAATAGCAGTCTATTGTTTCTAGCTTTACTTTACAATGAGCAATTATAACTGAATGCTCATCTTCACTTTCTTCACAGAGTGACCCACCACTACTCAACCCATCTATCTCTGAATATCTATTCCCACTAAGAACCCAATTTTATTACATGTCTACAGTCTACAGTTTGGTTGGCAGGCTCCTAAATTTCCGTAGCAGGGAACAAGTCTGGCTTCCAAATTTAACATCCTATATCTACCACTATAATAACTAAATAATCCAAGAAATCAACCAAACGCCCAAATCTACTGGACATATACCACATATACCACATAATAAATACTCACAGTTCTTCATCACCTTTCTTGGTTTTCAAATCAAAAACCAGGAAGGCGGTTCCAAAATTCCCACTGCCAAGTTTTTTCTCAACTCTGTATCTATTGGCCAATACTCGATGATCACTCTTGTCTTCTTTCGGCTTCTTGATTCCTCGTGACGGCGGCATGTCGAAGCATTTATTTTCCCCACCAATTTAAATAATTGATGCTCCTCAAAATGTACTTAATCAATTACAGTTGATCAACGTCTTAACAATAACAGTATTTAGTAGTAGTGACCGAATAAATTAAAGATTAGTTTCAATCACATCACTTGGTTTGTCTGAAATGAGAGCACAAATATAACAAAGTTTTAGTTACTTCATGTAGTTAATTATAGAAAATAAACAAATTTAACCTAGTTTGACATAGTTATGCAGGTTACTCTACTGTAAATGGTGTCAACTTGACTGAACCAAAAATTTTGATATATTAGGCGCTACAATTTAATACCCCGGTATAGGGTATATACAAGATTCAGTGATGTGGCGCTGACACATCAACTGCAAAAATATATTTGCCTGACAATGTATGTCTTGTCCTATGACAATTACAAAATATTTGAGTACTCGACAAGTGTGAGATTTTGCTTTTTTTACAGCAAGAATATATTGTATACTAGTATGTCCTTTTCATTGCATAGTACCAATATGGCCTAGCTATTTTCGTTTGGCAAGAATATACTAGGACAGTACCATATACAACTTTGTCGGCGTATATTGTTTTTAGCATGTGGTTCTAATTATGGATGATTTTCACCTTTTTTATGCATGAGGTGATGCTAAAACACGTTCTTTAAAAGCATGAATGTTACATTAATATGAATGTCTTACATTTTATTTTTTAGGTACGCAGTATTATTTGTCATACAATGCTTCAAAAAACGATTTTTTTTTAATATGAGCAAGTAATAAAATGATAATTGTGGCGCAATTTAATGACGCTAATTAAGTGTTGTACATGGCACAAGTAAGTCTGATTATTTCTATAGACATTATAATATAATGAAGTATATTACATTCAATTATTTCATAGTGTAGATGTTAAAATTACAGTTTATTGTACATTTGTAATGATAAATCAGGCCATAAGTTAAGTACTTTTAACAAATTCTAATTAGTCTGTTTCTAAGCATGTAGCTATGAGAATACATTTATATATGCTTACAAAATAGTATGAAATGGTAAAATGGAAATGAGTGTTTCTAATACAGATACAGATCTGCCAAATCCTGTTTTTCACTTTTGAAAAGAAAACGTCATCATATACGAGGTCATCAAAGGAGCGTTGAAGTTTTGAAGACTATCAAATTAGCTTTGTCAGAAATCAAGGTGCAGAAATTTGTAATGGAGTTTCGTAGTAGGTATGTGGGCTGCGGCAAGTAGTGTTTTCCTGGCACTCGCATCATGGGCTGCTGTATTCACTGGACACAAGCTATGTCCAGAAAGGTTGGGCAGCTCAGATTGCAAGTTGCCTATAATGCGAACGGCAATACTTATGGCTACATCTGACTATCGCTACCTTAATGATCTATCAGATTATTAAGATATTCAACTTATTGACAGCGCTATCACTAGAAGAGACAGGACAGATGCATTCTAAAAGTGTGCACCTCTAACTCATCTTGAACTGAAATCCAACCCACATACATACATACAATGTATAACCAAATTATTTTTATACTAAATATAAATTAAAGATTTTGATGGAAAGACATGTGTGTATAATCTAAAGGGACATCCATGTATTATTCGGGCCAAACAAAATACAGGTGGTTCCAATAATGCACTGCACTCAAATATTTTTAAATTTGTTTTTCTTTCAGCAGACATTATTTACATTAAGATTACAGTAAAGTCTTCCTAATTTGTCCAAAATCAGTAATGATGAATAAATTAAGTTTCATTGAGATCTTGGGTAATTTTGAATAATTTCTTTATGTTTGCCCAAAAGAAGGCAATTATTTTTGTTTTAATTGGTTTCTGGTATTTCTAACAGTACAACGTTGTTCAAGTGTTGGTATGAACAATAAGAGAGGGGCGCGGATTACATTACATTCTTTGTATAATAGGTGTATGGACAGGCAACAACTTGTCGCAATCATCAGGGTCCCAGTGGTAGCCCTGCAAGTGTATGATCCTTTCCCCACAGCACTGCACCATAATATGGTGCCAAGACTAAGAGAAAAATGTTATACCCTACCATTATACACGAGGTCGAAGTAACATAATTAATTCAGTGTAGATTATATTTTTATGACATGGAACACTGGATCTACATGTACCTGCACTTCGCAAAAGCGGGGAGACTGGTGAATGAGATAACGTCACGACAATTGAAGACATGAAACATGTAGGGGAGCTTGCAAGTTCTTGACGCTGTATCACATTTATAATCGTAACGCCCATCACGGTTACTAAAAATTAGAACCGTGCTTCCATGCAAAAATGTATTAGTCTGTTCGCATTTGGATAACATAACAATACGTATGTCGAGACGAGTGTTCGACAACGTTTCAACTTAATTAAGAAATTAAGGAAACTGTAGCATGCGGTTTTATATCATACAACGTTATATAGAAACACAACAACACAAACAACAACAACAACACCAACAACAGAACTACATAACATTAAAAAGTAACAAGTGTCTATATACTAAGAGTGCAAACCGTCAACAAACCTTAGGCGGCCATCTTGTGATGTCAAGTTAATGACTTCAGTGGACCTTCTCAGCTGCTGCTGCCAACCGCCGTCACTCGGTGTTATGTAGCTCACAGGCGCTGTCAATCATATGAACAAACTATGTGCTATGTTATTTGTTTAGTGTGAGACCTGTAATGAAAAACTAATCTCAATCAGACACCACCAAACTTTTCAACAGCGTACTAGGTCACCGTAATACGCAAAGCACCATGGGAACATGTACACTAACTGATCTGGGCATGCGCCATTGAAGAAACGAAAACGAGGCAAAAGGAACTTCCCCCTAATAATTGTTTCTTACGCAAGCGACGTTGCAAAAAAACAATTGTACCACGTACAGTTCCTCTTCTTCGTGTTTTACACTAGACAGGTCACGGATTGAGGCGTGTGCGCAAATTATTTGTTCGCAGGTAAGACGGAGAAACAAATTGGCGTGTTGCAACAAATGTTATTTATTCACAGGGACTTGACGATCTAAGTATGGCTGGTATTAGCAGAAGAACAAAATGCTTGCAGCTCTCACGTGGGTGTATTATGAGTGGTAGGCGAATGTACCGGCGACTGACTAACTATGCCGAACCTACTTTAGGTCATTATTTATTATCCAAGAAACGTTCCGAACGCATGTACAATGAATGTGTCAGCAGAAATCAAATTTGACTGGACATAGAAAAAATCGAACCATATTGTAATTTTGTATAATAGTGTATTGTATTTGAAAAAGTTCTTCCCCATAGATTATTAAATGAAATAATTAAGGTACCATTAACACAGATTATGAGATTTCTAACATTTGCCATATCCATTACCAAAATAAGCCATCACAAACAGGTCTTTTCACACATCTTGTGTGCTTGTTATTTATTTCATTATTTCTTTCATACCGTTCTTCTTTGGAATGCGTGAGTGTTTCTGAATAAATAAAATAATCGCATTCAATTAGTTTAAAGACAATTTCCAGTATTCTAATACAACGAACAAACAAACAAGTCATTCACAGCCAAGTCAGCTAGCTACACACATCAAGCTCCATGTTGCACACAACCCCCCCCCCCCCAATAACTTACTGAATCAACCAATACTTTTTTGTACACATGCAGTAGTGGGGAACTATATTTAAGCAATAACCCCCTGCCGAAGTCTGGTATACCACGAGATATTGCACAATTCACGACATATATGGAGTGAATTGTGCAATATCAAGTGGTATACCCAACTTCGGGGGGGGGGGGGTTGCTATTATATTATACCAGTATATTGACAATTCAATAAAACTAGTAAAAAAGAGTTTACTTGCATCTACTATAAGATCATGATTATGGCCCTTGAACATGAATATTTATAAGAAAAGTATGTAGTTGTACACTGGTTGCATCCAAAAATTACATACGCAACACAGTTCAAATTGAATACAAACTATTTTTTAATCCGTGTGAAAATGAAAACGTATCCACAGTGAATAGAGCAGTATAAACACAAAAATTAGCATAACAAAAGATGACCTTTTACTGACTGCGTCAACGCCATTTGAAATACAGGGTCGTGTACAATTTGGATCATTAAAAAAACAGTGGTTTAGGTTTGTGTGGCAAACGACAATCACCCAACGACCAACGCTCACAACTTGGATCCTGCCATTAACAAAAATATTATGATTATATAATTTTTCAGATGTTTTTGATTCGGTATTTTTTAAAAATATTTTTTCAGAATTCAACCACTATATTTCCCTAAAAATCAAATACTACCAGTTTTATGTAATTTCATATTAAACCTGTAGTCAATTCATGTTCCAGGGTCATTTGGCTTAGCACAAATAATGCAAAGTACATATCAAAATATTATATTATTATATTCATTCACACTTCTGTTTAAATATTTCAATTACATTCCTGGGCTAGAAATGCACTCCATAGAACTTGCATGTAGATGTGAGGTGCATGACAAAATCGACAACAATTCTTATATATTTCAAAGAACAAAACCGGTGATATACTATTTTGACACATAAGCAAAGCAAAACATGGTAATATTTTTAATTCTGTGTCTTGATATCATTACTGAGTATTTATGGAACAGACGACAAACTAGCCTGACAAGTTGGCGT